ATACAGAGAAACCTTGTCTCAAAACAAAAGAAGGGAAAGAATAGAAGTGGGGAGGGGGCGTGCAGCAGAGAGACTAAACTGTAAATGACAATGTCTAGCGGAAGTCCCAGCAAGGGCAGCCCGGTTCCCATCATACCCTTCAGCTCTGGACAAATGCTGGGATTCTGCCTGCTCGCCACTCTGAACAGGGTTCTTAGGACTAGCTCCACAAGCTGCTGCTGGGGTCCATCTTTCTGTTCATGCCCCACCCCACCCCAGGAGCTTCTGAGCTTATTTTAATTGCTTTGGCAGGTTTAAAAGCCTGGATCTCTATCTGTCTTGTTTCCCTAAAATGGTATTTAATAGATTTCCCTTGTGCATTTATTTCTTCTGACATACAGAGAGAGAAAAAGAAGATTTTTGTCTCAGAAAAATATTTATCTTATAATTCTATATGTGTTCTTTCCCAGAAACTCTTGGGTTTGGAACTCAATTACACGGTTCTCATAAAAGAGGTGGCTCTGTCTCTGCAAAGTATTAACAACACACGCTGCCACCTGCACCATTAGAAATGGCTCCAATTGTCCTGAATGTGAGCCAGAACCTGTCTTTTAAACTAGAATTCCATAACCACCTGGTCTTTCTGGGCCTTGCTTTCCTCACTTCTGCAGCTTGGAGATTATTCAGGATCAACCAAGTTTGCATTTGTTTCTTCAAACACCAAGGATTTTTTTTTTTTCCCATTGGAGTGATTGCCAGTAATTTCACCAGTTTTATTCATAAACTTCCATGAAAAAATCTTTATTCAAGTCTGAAGACAGCACAGAATACATTCATTGATGACGAAACACATTTAAAGGTAAATCAAAGACACTGAATTTCTTTTTTTCTTCTTCTTCTTTTTTTTTTTTTTTTTTCTGGAGCTGAGGACTGAACCCAGGGCCTTGCACTTGCTAGGCAAGTGCTCTACCACTGAGCTAACTCCCCAACTCCTGAATTCCTGAATTTAATTTCTAATTATCTGATATGTTTGTAAATATCCTGGGTTTCTTTTGTTCTGTCTCCAGGAAAAGCCATGCAGGCTCGGATTCCAGCAAGCATGCATGCAGACATCTTCAAGGTGCCTAACCACAAGAAGGATGTCACCTCACTCCCAAAGGAACAGGCATACAGCAGTGAACAATATCCAAGGTGAAACTTTCAGCCTGTAAGTTAATGTTAGCTAATGTCACCCAAATGTGTACCCTTTCTTAAAGACGAAACAACCTGGTGTTGCTCTACCTGTGTGTTGAAAGATGGCAGCCATTTTACATTGCGTTGCTACTGTAGCTGATTGTATCTGCTTCTTTCTCTCCTGCTGCCTTCCAGAGACACCTCAAGAACTGGGACTGGAGAGATGGCTCAGTGTTAAGAGCACTGGCTGCCCTTCCAGGGGAGGTGGGATGGATTTCCAGCACCCACACAATGGCTCACAACCATCTGTAACTCCACCTGAGGGGCATCTAGAGGCCTCTTCTGGCCTCCGTGGGTACTGCACACAAGTGGTGCATATATATATATATATATATATATACATATATATATGCAGGCATCCCTCATATATATAAAATTAAAAATCTTTAAAAACAAATTCAAAAGAATTGCATCATGACTAAATAAGACAACATGTTATCTTATGAAATAATAATTGAGTGTACCACAATAAACCTCGGGCACAAGTCAATGGAGAAGGGAATGGTGTCAGTATGGTCTGTGCTGATGGGTTCTGTAGCTGGGCTGAGTGTGGGAAATACTCAGTTTACTCTATGGAAGCATTCATTTTAATTAAACACCGAGTGACGTCCTGTGGGAGAAGAGAGCAGTTGGTTGCAGTCTGTGAAGTTCCTTTAAGAGTCAGTGTTCCCTATTCAGCCACACTTAGAGCCCTCCTGGCCTGGGGCTTCTTTTAGGTGCTCACATCACACTTCATTGATCCTGTTGTCTCAAGGGAGACACCCTCAGCCACGGGATGCCTCATCAACCTCTCCAGGTGTCTGCTTGTGGCCAGTATCCTCAGTTACCATTGCCCATCTTCGGACCCCAAAGTCACATGAACCCTGGCTGGTTGTGCTCCCTGGAAGTAGGTATTCAGCCCCTCTGTGATGTAACCATGGCCTGGGGTCTTAGGCACAATGGGCATCCATCCCAGACTATACAAGGAAATCTAATGCCATTTATGAAACTCACCCTAGCTCCTAGCGCGAGGCACTCAGGAAGGGCAGTCTGAAGATGGGCAATGGTAACTGAGGATGCTGTCTCCAGGATGACTGAGGAATCCCAGTTCTCTCCAGTTCACTCATGTCCTTTTCCAGCAAATAAGCCACATCTCACAGGCATCTCTGGGATCAAGCCGGTCCTATGACGCCCCCTTCTGGTGATGTTAGGCTGAAGTGTGTTGCCTCATTAGAATAATAAGATTCTGCATTTGTAACAGCTGACTATTAAAAACTTCAGAGTAAACCACTCATGGTCAGGTTCATGACCACGCAGGGCTTCCAGTAACTGGTTTCAGGGGAGTGTGCTTTCTAGACAGTGTGGTGTGCTGTCTTTTCACATCGTGGACTTTCCACTATCTGGTGCTCTGCCCAACCTTGCCTTCTTACAGCATCCAGGATCACAGGTTGATTCTGACTCTTTCCCTGCCCGAGATATGGACTCAACTGTCCCTCACGGAGAGAATCACTTCAGAATCCAGGGGCACGGGGCCCACAAACATCTTTGGTCCATGTTCCAAATAGAATTGTTCAAAAATACACAATAGTGCAAAGTATTATAAGGACAGAGCAGATAAAACCTCTAAAAACACATCCATGGATTTGAGTTAGAAGTGTGGGCTTGTCATCCCAACATTCAGGAGGATGAGGCAGGAAGGTCATGAGTTCAAGGCCAGCCTAGACTATTTATCAAGATTCTGGCTCAAAAGGAAAAATAAAAGGCTCCTGGATTCTGCCGGGCATTCCACATCATCTGTCTTAGTCCCTCAACTTTAGTAAAGAAGTCTATTTGTCTAATTTTTTAGCTTCTGAGCAGCTTTTTTCCCATTCTAGATTGTTAGGGACCACAAAACGCTGTCTCTCACCCCACCAAAGCACAGGTCCACATCCCAGTGTTGCCCACTGCCCCATCCCACCCACAGCTCATGACGTATCTATGCTCAGCCATCCCGAAACTGGCTCCACAGCATCCGGTTCTACCAATCCTCAGGTCTCTGGCACTTTAACACCAACATCAGACAGGAAAGAAGCCCCAGTTTCTTAGGGAATCTCCCCAAAAGCTAAGAGCTCAGGGAGAGATGGCTCAGTGGGTAGAGGACCTGCTGCCAAAAACGACCTGAGTTCGAGCCCCAGGACTCACAGGGGAGGGGAGAATCAGCTCCTGCAGGTTGTCCTCGTGCCACATGTGCACGCGCGCACACACACACACACACACACACACATACACACACTCATACACACACCTATACACACACACTCATACACACACCTATACACACACACTCATACACACACTTGTGCCCACACACTCTTACACATGCTCGTGTTCACACTCACGCTCATACACACTCACACCCATACACATGCTCATGTTCTCTCTCTCTCTCTCTCTCTCTCTCTCTCTCTCTCTCTCTCTCTCTCTCAGTAAATAAATGTATTTAATAACTTTAAAACTGAGAGCTTAGGACATGAGCATGAGGTCTGCTAGCTTCTTGACTGATAATGACAGGTAAGGGGGAACAGCCAGGGTAATGGTCTGTACGCGACCTCTGTGAGAGCAGAGGAAGGGTCTGTCAGCCGCAAGGAAGGGAACAGGCATGGGGGCGGCTAAGGAGCAGGATGGCGAGGGGCCGAGAAGAGGAAGTACAGGGAGCTGTAGTTCCTGCTGCAGTTCATATGTGCATGGGACACCACTCTGACATCCATTGCTTTGTGTGCTAACTCAAAAAGCTACAAAAAGACAAAAATAAGAACAAAACAAAAGAATAACAGTAGTAAAATAGAAACAAATACCATTTTCAAGTTTAGAAAAAAAATCCCATGTTGAGACAGGCAGATATCTGTGAGCTGGAGGCCAACATGGTCTACTCAGGGAATTCTGGGCCAGCCAGGGCTATGTAGTGAGACCCTGTCAATAATAATAATTTTCAATCCCATGTCAAATTTTTCCACTGAAGCTCCACAAACTGAATTTATCTTATATATTCCATGTAGATTTTCTTTGGTAGTGACATTATGTATTAAATATACATTTTTTATTTATTTTATGTGTACAAGTGTTTTGTCTACACATATGTATGTGCACTCTGTCTGTACAGTGCCCATGGAGGTCAGAAGGGGACATCAGATGCCCAGGACCTGGGCTTATGCATGGTTTTGAGCCACCATGTGGGTGCTGGAAATTGAACCCAGGTCCTCTGGAAGAGCAGCCAGTACTCTAACCACTGAGCCATCTTTCCAGTTCACGACTTTGTATATTAGAGGCCCACAGGTAAGTAGACTTGCTTTGCACCAGCCTGCGCCAGTTCATAGTTAAATGATAGCCAAGTGTGGGACGGACAGTCGAGAGCGATGAACGTCCTACCTGAGGGAGCCCACTGGGCAACCTCTTCCCATTCATACTGAGAAAATCATCACCGTGGGAACATTCACACTACGGGAATTAGCAAATGCTAACCCAGGGCTTCCTGCCTGGAGACCCCAGCAACTCCAGCCACATGCCTCAGTTTCTCCCAAAACCTAAGATTAATTAACATCCAGGATAGTCTACCATATGTCAGACATTGTGGCTATGAATTCCTACTAAAGAAACTTATAAAGAACAGCTTTTGGAGTTTCATGTAATTTCTCTAGTATTTACTGGGGAATGTTCCTCAGAATCCATGTTAAACAGAAAAACATTACATAATGATTACATCGCGCTTCAGCTATGATGCTCAAGGCACATTACGCTGTGACCCACCAGCTTGAAGGAATCTCCAGACAGGCTTGATCCACCCCCAGGTTTTATTTCAACAGAAGACAGACAAAATGTAGTGGTTTCTGGTTATTCACATTAATGGGCTAATATCCAATGCTGTGCATGGGTTAACAAGTGCTCTTTGTCTTGGGGGTGGCGTGGAGGGGAGGGTGAGATGAGCGAGCACTGGAGATGGAGTCCCCATGATGTTTCCTTAATGGGTTGGGGTGAGGCTCGCCAGTGGGTTGCTGTGCGCTATCTCACCCTAGTTCTTCCCAGCCCCGTTACTCTCAGGAAGGAGATAGCCTCGGGCAGTTCACCGTTAGACCCTGTCCGTCAGAGAGGTTGTCACTTAGATATTCATTTAGCACCAGAGTTTCTGCACGAAGTTGTTCTGCAGTTAAATTCCCCTGCCTTCGCATTGGCACTTCTGGGGCCACATAGCACCCTCGGGTTAGGAAGCCGGGGCCCTTCCGGGATCTTGGGACAGTATGGCCTGCTTCTTCTTGCTGGGGCGCAGCATTCTGAGCCATCTCTTCCTTCCTCCTTACTGTCTTCCTCTCTCTGCAGCTCCACACCTTGAACATGGCCCCCATCCCTGCACTCCAATCTGAACTTTACCAGGTCTGGCTGTGAGGGTGCAACGGTGGCCTTTGGGGTCTCCCAGCATCTGCCTGTGCTTGGCCACCCAGCTCCCAGCACAAAGCCGTTCCTGGTGCTCTTCATGTCCCTCCACCAAGTACTGTACATCCCTCCACGTTCCCCAACATCCTGTTGTCCTCTCCTACTTACCTGGTCCCTAAAGGAAAATTTGAGAGCTGTATTCCAATTGGTTCCCTTTTCTCACAAGCCAAGGACTCTATCCCAGACCCAAAATTGATTCAAAGCAAATGTTTTTTGGTGTTTTTTAAGATTTATATAACTGTGGAAGCATCCAAGGCTGTTCACAAATTTCCCATTTACCCTCTCCAAACAAATGTATGTCCCCTAGTATTGTTAAACTATTTCTATGTAGCTTTTAGTCAGGGTTATTTCTTCAAGCCAGGAATTATTTCTTATACTTTTATTTCTGAGAGGATTCATTTTTAATATCTTTGTCTTTTGCTATCATTTTAAATTCTATTGCATTATAGAAAAAGTATGAGATTTTATGGCTTCTCCTTATTGAGCAATAACCAATATAGGATTGTGGGCTGTCGATATTGATACCTAGGATGTCATACTGGGTTTGCCGCCTTATGCTTGCCTTCTGTAGTCCTGGCTCTGCTGTCTAGATTCACCTGCTTGATACAGTCTGCCTGACAGACTGGCTTTAACTGATGTTTAGGACTTTATTTGAAAATATCCCCAAATTGATTCTCTCATTCCCTTATGGATAGAAAGTTTGGCTAATTGCATTCTATTTCCCCTCTTAACTACAAACCATGATCTTTTAAACAAATTTGTGTGTTTCCTCTTCTCTAAAAGTGTGTAAGTGTTCTCCAGGATGGATGCCTAAAATTATAGTCACTTGATTAGAGGTTTTAAGATACCCTGCCTTGCTAGTGTCCCGGGGTACAGTGGTAGGATGACATCTACCATGACAACGTACAAATTCCCATCAGTAGCATCTAGGACTCTCCTCACATCATTGCCAACGCTTGACAATTTCTTTTTTATATTTCCCACTTGGATAGTTGTGTAACACGAACTTGTTTTGCACATCCCTGAAGACACACACATCTTCAGATAGAGGAACCTGAGTCCTGGGCAGAATAAACAGACATAAATCTGTACTTAGTGACATCACAGTGACAGTTCAGACCAACCAAACACAGGGAAAACAGAATCTTACCGTGGAGAGTCAAGAAGATGGATGGCAGACCTCTCGTTGGCACTTACAGAGGGAGGTGATGGAATGGCATCGCCACAGTGCTGAGGGGAGAGAAAAACTGTCAGCTACAACACTGGCCAGGGGCGTGCAATCCCCAGCTCTTCTGGCAGCTGCACCCCTGCATTTCCCACGGGCTGCCTACATTCTTCAGAAGCAGGTACCCCATTCTCATGAAAGGGATGGACATGTCTGTGAAGAAAGGCAAACACCTGAACCCCATGACCTACATGGAGATATAGCTTGTGTGTTTCCGATTCTTACATCTGAGCTTCCTGAGAGGAAGTCCTTTCTGAGATATAAACCAAAGAAGAGATGCCAAGTAAAACTCAGAGAAGATAAGAGGAAAACAGTACAACTTAAGAGGTTATAAACAGAGCTGGCAAGATGGCTCAGTCCGTCAACCTGAGTTTGATCTTGGGTCCCATGTGATAAAGGAGAAAACTGCCTCCTAAAAGTTGTCCCCTGACCTACACACATGCACACACAAGTTCCAGCTAGATTAGATACACTTTTTTAGTTTACTGTCTGGAGTTGTAGGCTTGGTAGAGGGCAGGTGGGCTGTGTATCTCAACCAATGTGAAAAATAAAAAGAGGGGCAGCCACCAAAGAACAATGTACCAAAGCATTGTCCCTCAGAGAGTGAGTTTAGTAGACCTACCCGCCAGCAGCTTTCCCACCCAGGAAATGGAGGGACTCGATTTCCCTGTGTGCATTCCCACCTGAGCACAGAAGCCACACAGGCCCCCATGCCCTGGTCCTGCACACACATGCTCTGTTTATTGGGGTGAAAGACAACACAGCCCGTGGGAACGACAGCACTGTAGGGCTGGGGAGTTTCTGGAAGCTTCTGTGACCTGAGTTTGTCCCTGAACAGGTAAATGACTCAAACGCCACAGGCTGAGCCGTTGGGACGACACCACTGGTTAGTGTCAGATTTAGAGAAAGCCTGGATCTGCTAACTCTGAAGTCACCTCCATTCCCTCGGACACAGCATCGCAATCTCCATGATGTCCCTCGGGAAGTCAGTCACCATTTGCCATGCTAAACCTTTAGAGTCTAAGCTCTTCCTTGGTGTACACAGCAGCACTGTGGGACAGGCAAGACAGTTGTCACCAGTCTCCTTCTACCAGGCAAGAAAGTGAGGGGTTAAAGGGGTGCAAAGTCCTGCTGTGTCCGTTTCATTTCCCTTGATGGCATAACATATCTTGATTGAAGAAAGAAAGAAAGAAAGAAAGAAAGAAAGAAAGAAGGAAGGAAGGAAGGAAGGAAGGAAGGAAGGAAGGAAGGAAGGAAGGAAGGAAGGAAGGAAGGAAGGAGGGGGAGGGAAGGAGGGAGGAAGGGAGGAAAGAGAGAGGGAGGAAGGAAAGAAGGAGGAAGAAAGGAAGGAGAAAACCTGAAAGGTTTTATTTTGCTCACAATTCCAGGCTATAGTCCATCACTGCAGGAGCTGGAGACAGCTGGTCACACCACATACCCAGTCAGGAGCAGAGAGAAATGAATGCAGGCATGCTTAGTGCTCAGCCAGCTTTCTCCACTCTGAGAGAATCCAGAGCCCCAAATCCAGGAATGGTGCCTGTGGTGGTATTCTAATTGTACTGAAATGTGATTTTAATTGTATGTTAATAAATAAAGTTGCCCAGGGGTCAGAACTATTAGAGCCATGGACAGAGTATGGTGGTGGTGGCGCACGCCTTTAATCCCATAGATCTCTGTGTGTTCAGGGATACAGCCAGCATTGGAGACATATGCCTTTAAGACCTAGGGGGCTGTACATTCAGACA